TGGGATTTGAACCAATGACGCTAGTACTGCCAGGCGGGCGTGCTAACTATTTAGCCACTGTGCTGCCCATGGTACTTAACACAAATTTTGGGACAACTGGGACATCTAGAAGGCCAATGGACTTCTGTGGTAAAGACAAAGCTCAAAGGGAGACTGATGCAATGGTGGACCTTATTCAGCAGATGCCCAAAATGGCAGATTTGCAGTCTATCACTTCTAATAATAAAAATGCTCTATTAGCAACAGTTTTGGATCTGATAGAGGAAATACAGCGAGTGGATCACTGTCTATCCGAGGTAGAGCAGGTCGCTAATCACCATGACACTGACATACCAGACCTACAGAACTTGGCAGCCAGGCACACAAACCATCTTATTGACATGAATCATAAACTTGAAGGGTAAGAGTACAACAAGCCTTTACGTTCAATGGATCTGATGTCAATGTATTCAAGGATCTCTCTCCTATAACCTTACAAAATTAGGAGGGCATTGCATCCATTGTTATCAGTGTTGAGGGAAAATAACATTGTCTACAGATGTAAGTTTCCTTTTGGTCTGGCCACAACCCGCCAGGGCAGGACGGCCACCATACAGACCCAGAATAACCTCTCCCACTGTTTGGCATTCCACCAGTGCTTGTTTCAGATTGATACCAGGAGTTCTTATGATCAGATTCTGAGATGGACATTCCTTGACCCCCTTTGAAAGAGTATACCCAGAGACAGAGAAACCACTTTTTTCAGCCTTACTACAGGTGCCGGATCGCAGAACACCAGGAAGAGGAAGCATAATAATAATAATCTCCCTGAAAGGGTTTATATGTGGCCCACTACTCTTTACTGAGCTGGATTTGTTCCATATTGACAGTGTAAGTATCCCCAGCATCTGCCTTTTGTTTTTCAAGTTTTGGTTAGCCTGAGTCCCAGAGGACTGGTCTAGTTCTTTCGAAACCACAGTTTACCTGCTCAGTGTAATACTTCTGTACACTGAGCAGGTAGAGTCCATTGTGCAGCTTTTCTAAAACTGGTGCATTCAGAATCCGGTGCAGCTCTGCATGGTAGCCAATCAGCTTTTAACTTCAGCTTGTTCAGTTAACCTTTGGCAATAAAACCTTGGTCCTGATTAGTTTCTATGCAGAGCTGCACCAGATTTTGCACTTTCCAGTTTTAGTAAATAACCCCTACGTCTTTAGAGACAGTTAGCATGTGTGGCACACTTTTTCTCCTGTGTTTTTGTATGCTTTAATCTTGAAGTTACACAGGAATGATCTTTGTATAGCAGTTACAACTGTTTCTTACTATGTGTTATTCCATGTCTTGCACCTAAATTGTCCTGTTCTATATTAGTGTTTAGGTGTAACCCTGTGTCACACAACTATATTTATGCAGTATTTTATTTCATTTTTTTTACTCATGTTCTGGAAGAACTGATTCTCACCCATTTTATAGAGCAGATTTTTCTAGAGCTAAATTTGACCACAAAGTCAGAGGGAGAGGCACCCCAACTCTCCTTCCCTTAGCTGTGCCACTACTTTACCCCATAAATGTTGTATTGCTTAGTTGCCATAGTTTCTTGGGCCCTTTTTTGGTGTGTACCTTAGTTTTTTTTATATGAGCTCTATGCTTCTGGTCATAAATTAAGGGCATATCTTGGATTAGTCTCCCCACATCATGCTTGTTAACGGTTTTAATTTGTGTTGACATAAAAATTGTACTATTAGTAGTTTTAGTTTAAAAAAGCAAGAGATTTCTGGCAGCAATTTTTTTCATTTCACATTTGATGGCCATGTTGCTCATCCTAAAAAGAATTTATTTTTCTGCTTTGCCATGTGGCATATGTCTATGGCTATAGCCCTGAGACTGGGGTGCTGGGTAGACAAGGTTTGTTGTAAGTTGAAATTCCCTCCAGATGGCATAGTTGTGATCACCACAACTTTTATTACCCAACACAATATTGCATTTCAGCCCAGCTGACTTACATTCAGAGTTTAGTAGTGGGTGCAAACTAGGTCTCCTATTCTCACCTGGAATTTTCTTATTTTTCCTGTCTTTTTCCTTCCTTCCTTCTATATTGCACAGACTCTTCCTTCTCTCTCTTCCCCCCTCTTTCCCCCTAGGGGGATATCTTTCCCCCTTCCCATCCTTTTTTTACTTTCTTCACTACAAGATAGGCTGCTATAGTGACTCGGATTGGGTCCTTTCGACAGAAGACTAATTGCTTGTTTCAAATTGGCCTAGAATGATGAGGCCCAAAGTTTGGTATACAGCACATGACATGTCCATAGATTTCCTATAATTGAATGTTAAAGGACTTAATATTCCAGAAAAGAGGACACAGATTCTACATGAACTGCACAAGCACAGGGTACAGATTGTGTTTCTCCAGGAAATGCACTTCAAAAGATCATGTACACCAAGATTTTCCAACCACAGATATCCTTTGGTGTACCATGCTTCTTTGGATATTTCTAAAACGAAGGGTTTAGTAATTCTAATTGCTAAGAATCTTCCCTTTCAAGTAAGTGAACAGCTGGCAGATCCCAAAAGTCAGTTCCAATCTTTAATAGGTATTCTGGACCCTCGGCCCATTTACTACTCCAACAAAAAACAGGCCGATCTCCAATCTCAATTAGCCCAAATTAACAAGCTTGAAATGATTGAAATGACTAGCTAACAAATGCAGGCAGCTTCCGCTCTCACTGCATTGATTCAGGCAAGAAATTAGCTGCTTGAGGAGTTACAACAATTTCTGGTTGAGTGTGAAGTTTTGCTTCGTCCTTTTTTCCTGTGAGCATTCAAAAGAAAGTAGTAAATTCTTTACAAGGACTTTGCAGGAGAGGAAAGCCGATATGATTGTGCATACTATGCGTGACAAACGGAGGAAATTGTACTGCAAAACTGAAGAGATAACTTGTCTGTCCGTCTGATTCCCCCCAGCAATTTACAAAAAACAATCAGTGGTAAAGACTTTTTAGTGGCTGTCAAACAGATGGAACGCAGTAAAAAGACCAGCACAGATGAGCTTACCAGTTCAATAATATAAAAGTCTTCAGAGCTCTTGACACCATATTTTCTGTCAGCTTTTAATTCTCCATCTAGAGTCATATCATCCAGCTGCACCTAAGCACCAACTTGAGGCCCACATACCAGTCATCAACAAAAAGGAGAGAGATGTTAAATTGTATGCTACGATTTTTGTGGACCACCTCCTTCCACTTTTCTCTTCATGGGGTTCTCTTGACAAAGTAAGCTTCAAGAGAAGCCAGTGAAAATACTATCAAAACTCAGAAAAAAGGCAGGAGCAGCAAGTGTAGTCAGCTAATGATGTATGTTCAGTCTGTGGATGCTAAGACAGGATAGCCTTGGACTACATGATGGCTGTACTTGCTTCACTTGCGTAACAATATGTGTAATACAATTGGAGTTTTTTATATATATAAAGGCCAGAGTAAAGATCAATGGTTACCTGTCAGACACCTTCCAAATAACAAATGGAACTCATCAGGGATGTCCTCTTTACCAATCATTTTCATTTTGTCCCTAGAGCCATTTTTGCAGAACGTACATGCTATCCCAGAGGTTAGAGGCATTTGGGTGATGCAAACAGCAGTTTTTGCAGGTGATATAATGCTTTTCTTATCTGACCCTTTAACCAGCCTCCCAACCTTGCTTTTGGAACTAAAGCTTTATGGACAGATCTCAAATTTGAAGATTAACTATGAAATGTCTCAATATTTCTCTCTCTCTGGACCTGGTTCATACCTGCTAACACGTATTCACATGGAAAACAGAGGCAGTTACATTCCAGGAGGTTCAGCTGCTGCCACTTTGAATACACACAACACCTGTATCTACCTACCACTACTAAAAACTCTGCAGCAAGAGCTTATATGCTGAAAAAAAAAACATGGTTCCCCTGGTTTGGGAGTGATGCCATTCTGAAATTGAACATACTTCCTAGAATACTGTACTTGTTTCAGGCTATTCCTCTTAGTATCCTGTCGGCCACATTGAAAAAAGTTTCCAGCACTTATATTTGGGGGAAGGCTACCCCACAACTAAAATTTAAGGCAGCATCTGACTCCCTAATGCTAAACTCTATACACTCTTAAAGCATGCCAATTGACAAGAATAGTGGAGTGGCATACTCACTCGGGCTTAAACGATTAGACTTTTCTGGTAAGGTTGTTTGTGTGGAAAGCTTTGGAGACAATGCCATGGAACACTGTTGGGGGGGGGTTAATTCTTAGCATTCACACCTCTGATTGGGGCAATGCTACACAGCTTTCTTACCATGTAAATCATCGACTCATACTTCAAGCTAGACAACATCTCTACATTAAAACCTGGATTTCCCTTCTGGCCTGTAAGGGACTGCAAAGGCCAGACTAATGTGAACTGACCCTGAGAAAGGGGTTTTTACTATCACGCATAAGGGTTCCCTAAATGTGACTACAAAGGAGAAAAATATCAAGGTTTACATGATAGTATAGAACCCCCTCCCTACTTTGCAAGTTATTCCTTAATACGTCTGACTAATGTTGGAGATACAAGCTTGAAGTGGGAACTATATTGTGCTACATGTATAGTGGCTCTGCCCCAATATTCAATCTTACTGGGCTACAGTTTATGACATAACCTCTAAAGTCACTAGCTGCCCTCTCAAATTCTCAGCGACTCAATATTTACCTCACTACTCTTTGGTTATGAGGGGCGCTTAACACAAATCTTTTGCCATGCATGTGATAAATACAGCATGCATGTGTATCCCCATAAACTGGTGTGCATGTCACATACCATCTCTAAAGGAATAGTTCACTAGATTTAATAGGGTGACAAATATGCATTTGTCTCAGGATATACTGGTGAAATGTAGAAATGTAGTAAATGTAGTAATGTCTGGGATTTTTAATTCCATATCAAACATCTGCTGAATAAAATGACAATAGGTTTGATTTACTAAAATTGGAGAATGCAAAATCTGGTGCAGCTCTGCACAGAAACCAATCAGCTTCCAAGTTTTATTGTCAAATGCTTAAATGAACAAGCTGAAGTTAAAGACTGATTGGCTACCATGCACAGCTGCACCAGATTTTACACTATTCAGTTTTAATAAATCAACCCCACTATGTCAGCTGTTCACTGAAGAGATGGTAACCGGTTTGGTGGTGCTTATTGTCTCCAATTTCGTGGACATACTTTCATGCTGAGGGAAGATGTGGATATGACTGAATATATTAGCTTCACCTTCTTAAAATGTTCCTTGCCTATGGACTGACAGCCTATAATTGCCCCTGTCTTTCCTAGCTTTTATTTTGTTCTCCTTCCTCACTTCCTTTTTTCTATTTATTCCAACATATTATAGGTGATTGCCCATGCAAGATTTTGTTGTTGGGGCTATCACCTTCATTCCGTAGTTATTGCTTTGAGAAGTTCTTTATTATTATTATTATACAGTATTTATATAGCGCCAAAGGGTGCGCCTGAAGGTGAGTAGGGTAGGTGACAGTCTGATGGATTGGGGTAGGGAGTTCCAGAGGATGGGGGAAGTCCTGGAGAAGTCCTGCAATCGGGCTTGGGAGGAGGAGACCAGGGAGCTAGAGAAGCAGGAGGTCCTGTGAGGAGCGGAGGGCACGGGTAGGGTAGAATCTGGGTATCAGGTCAGTTATGTAGTTCGGGGCGGCATTGTGAATGGCCTTGTAGGTCAGGGTTAGCAGCTTGAACTTGATGCGTTGGGCAATCGGGAGCCAATGAAGGGATTGGCAGAGGGGGGAGGCAGATGTGGAGCTCTTGGTGAGGTGGATGAGTCTGGCCGAGGTGGATGAGTTCTTGTGTGTTTCCTTAGATTTTTCAATATCCCATCCGTAACCAAAACATAAAATAGAGTCCAAATGGTTGAGTAGCTGTACACTGAAAGGATCTAGATTACCTCCATTTTGTTGATGTACGCCATTTTAAGTATTAAGTTAGGTTTTTGCAGATATACTGGAAGTTTAATGAAACTGTTTCAGTTTGCACAAGGATGTATAAACAATGATAAGATGTCCCTGAGCTTTCTGTGTCCAGCAGATTTTCAGAAAGCTAGCAGAAACGGTTTATACCAAGAAATGTATATGTCGTGTTTCATGTAGTCAGCTTATGATGGAAAGTTACAAATTGCAGTTTTGAAACTCGCTCCTCCTCCCTTTTTTAATTCTGTTCTGTACTCTATATAACCTTAGTAATGTCTAATAAACTTTGAACATCTTTGAACATAAGCTGCCATTATTCCGTGTTCATAGGGTGTTCCCAGAATTCTGCTGATAAACCAGGAATCTCTCTACAGATCGGGGGTCTCTGAAGGAATAAAGAAAATCGATCCTCTGGTGTGCATTTATTATCATAAGTTGGTGGAGCCTAGGCTACTGCTCTATGTACGTATTTGGTACACATAACGTTCTTCAGAAGCCATATTATGTAACTTTTTGTAATGTACTTGTTTTCTCAAGTGCCAGATCAGAGTTGTACGCTTGCTATGTACATGCTGTTTGTCACCCTGTATGCATTGTAAAACATCAAAAAAACATTTTATGGAAATAGAAAGAAAAAAAGATACCCAACTGCAAAAGAATCTCAACAAGCACACAATTTTGCAATAATTGACTGTGGTAAAACATGTGACATGCGTGAACTGATCAGTTAAAAATAGTAATAAATGGGTTGAGATGTGCAGATCACAGTTTGTCACTGATCACGCCACCGCTGCAAAAGCTCAAAAAGAGCAAGTAATCCACATCATCACTATTGCCACATGTGACATGCTCTGATCCTAGATATGGTCTTACATCTTAAAAACAAGGAGCAGAGTGCTATTTTATAGAGATGGAGAGAGGGAGTGTTGATCTACTGCCCTCAGTGTTATTCCTGTCATTCCTATATCTACAACTTCAAGTGGTAGCCTCAACATTTAAGGCTAATAGGTCTATTAATTTACCAAACTGCTTACAGACAAGCTATGTCTACATTTTTGTTACTTGACAACAAATCTGACGTTCTTACATTTTTCATACTGAAAAAACTTTAAAACCCAACTATCAGGAGAGCTCAGTGAACATGTGTCTTCCATTTCATTCTTATTGTCTGATTTCTTAACTGTGATAATCAGGCTACTGAACATGGATTATCCCATTGTATGAACACTGCCACCAAGTTTTTGCTTTTTAACAGCACCATCATCATTGCCACCCTTTGACTTCATGTTTTGTCCTTGATAGTGCATGGATTTTTAAGACATAAATGGGTCTGAGAATGTATTTAGAAGACTCAAACTTTTTGCTGGTCTTACACTATGAAAAAAACAGTGAGGGCCAAGCACAGGCTGATCTTCAATCTTTACAGCAGGTGCAATTGTAATATTTATGCAGCACCTGCATAAGGGAGCAAAGCCATCAAAAAGTACATAATGCAGCTCAGCAGCAATGTTTGTTGATTTGAGGGCCTTCACCCTTCTCACTTTATTGGCACCTGACATAGCATGGATCCATTTGAAGAGGTCCACAAATGTATATATAGAAATAAGCATGACATTAAAAGAAATGTTTAGTAAAAAAAAATGCTAGTTAGTTATGCTAACCCTATGGCTTCAATACGTTTAGAGTCACTGAACTGGAATAACTTGGAAGATAAAGAATTGTCATTTTACTAGCAGTTAATAATAAAGAGACCCAGCTGTCAACAATCCATACTACTACCAACACCACCTTAACTGATCTTTTATCTAGTTTACCACTCTGCCATCTGCTACAACAACTTCGCAGAAATTGGACCATCAACAAAATCACCTTGCCTTATATAAATCAAAAGAAACATGCAAAAAACTCCAAGGCCCAGTATCACAGATTGAATAGATATTTAATCAGCAATTAAACTAACAAAGGGAGAAATAGACAATCATTACACCAAAAACATGGCACTGCCGCCAAGCATCTGGAATGCGCAATGACATTTCAGGTACATTCCGCCTGACTAGTTTTTCATAAGTACACATCTTCAGGGGACTGCAGACTTTCCTGGCTTTCCTTTTTCAGATTTTTGTCCTGTTGTTGACCTGTCTAGGTAAGAGCATGAATTATGCCATAACGGAGTTGATTTACTAAAGGTAAATAGGTTGTTTCCTTTGCATGGGAAGTTGCACTTTTCAAGTGAATTTGCTCCAGATTCTAGTAAATGAATTAAAGCTCTGCTGACTTCCATCACTCAAACATGTGCAAAAAAAAATGACTTTTTTTGTTTTCTTTTTTTACATGCATGTGATTGAGTACTCTTTCCAAAATTAAATGTCACCTCACCACATTTACTAAGCTCTGGGGCACATTCCCTTGCAAAGTGCAATTTTCTTTGCAAAGTGAACAATCTATTTGGCTTCAGTAAATCAACCCCAATATCTGTGAGTAGCTTCAGTCAATTCCATCCAATGCAATCACACAGTTTAGAATATCTAGTCTGATCACTATTTTATCGTAAAACTTAGGAAATGTGTTTAATCTGTCAATGTGTAGAATATAGAAATGAGAGACTGACACGGTTATGAAAGATATGTATCCTTTCCAAAGTTTGCCAATATGAATGCTTTCCTATGTGTGACTTTTTACTAGACCCTCTGCCATAAACTGTGACAAGTTGACAAGCTGAGATTTGTAGGTCTGCAGAAAAAGGGAAAAGAGGTGCCGAGTTCCGAAGTTTGGACTAGTGCAATAGCATAATGGTGTAAAGGAGTAAGAAAAAAAATTATAAAGTAATTTAAAATGCTATAATGTATATTGTTTTTACAGGAGACCAGAATTTACAATAAGATCCTAAGGTCTAATATGTTGAAAAATGCTGATAAGCTAATGGAGAGAGTAATTAGCCTGAAAAGAAATATTAACCTCCCTGGCGGTATTCCCGAGTGTAGCTCGGGGTAAAATTTCAGTACCACAAGCGGTATCCCCAACCTACACTCGGGCTTACCATGCGGCGCTGCATAGGGATTCCCTGCAGCGCTTACCTTGTCCTTCGCTCCCGCGATGTGTCCCCTGCAGCGTCCCCGGCCATCTCCTCCGGTCGATGCCGGCTTCCATGTTCCTGTCCCTGTGACGTCGGGACGTGCGGAACCGGTAGCAAATTTGAAAGTTTTAAAAAATTTCATTTTTTTAAAAACGATTATTACATAGCAAAACATTGCTATTTCACTTACATTTTGTCCCTAGTGCTTTGTCCTGTGCCCTGCCTGCATTTTGACTGTTCTTTCTGCCTGGAAACTGGGAAAAGTCCATGGGGTCCAAAAAGCGTCTCTTTAGGTCAAAATCAGTTTTAGCTAGAGAACAGCAATAGTAAATCAGGATCCACTTGCAGAATTGAGTGATAATGATTCGTGGGGAAATTCGTCATCAGACACTGAAAACGATTCTGCGACTTTGCTCAGCGATGTGCGAACTTGGCGCTATATTTCAAATGTCTGTGTTTTGGGTTTGATTATATTATTGAATTAAATTTATTATATTATTATTTTTTATGATTATTTATTAAATTATAATTTACGATTTCGTGTTTCAAGTTTTATCATATCCGGAATGTTTACTAGACTCTTGTTCGGACAGATTTTAGTAAGGTATTCCTAAAAATGACAGGCCTAAAATAAAAAAAACTACATATTTCCATGGAAAATAATGGTACCGCTTTCAGTACCAAAAATCTGAAATAATCATACCGACAGGGAGGTTAAACTGTACAAGCCTACACTGCTGACAATTGGTGGAGGACCTGAGATAGGATGTGCAGACATGAAGTTTAATATCTCTTTTCCAGCCTGTGTAATATCCTTGTCCTTAATTTAGGCCAATTCTATGCTTAAGATCAGGGACAACATTGATATAGCTGACAGTGACAGGTGCTGCAGAAGGGAGAATTCTGACCTCTGTGTTGTGCTTGACAGATATTTTGGTCTGTTGAATTATGAGAACTTCCTAAAACTCTGTCACCTTCATTGTGGTAATTGATAATTAATGGTTGTGTGAGACAATTGTAAAGACCTTATCTACAGACTAAGAATTCGTTCATATGGTAAAATTTGGGAAATTTGTTTAATCTGTCAATGTGTATAATTTAGAAATCTAGAAATGAGAGACTGACACAGTTACGGAAGATATGTATCCTTTCCAAAGTTTGTCAATGCTGCTTTACACTCAAAGGGGTTGATTCAAGATGGAGAAATTATTAAGACACTACAACGTAATTTACCTTAGTCAATCCACAGGAAAAATTGTCATAAAGGTTACATACATTGGTTTTTTCACATGGGGTGAACATTTGTCTACTGAGTTCTTTTTTGTTATCTTAACTTGTGAACTGTTATTTTATTGCTTTATTGAAGCCAGTGTTGTTCCTTAAGGGGTAACAATCATGTGTGGTAACTTTATATACTGATTCATGAGGGACAATGAAATAACACTGACAGTGATATAATAGTTCAAGTGGTGTTTTACCAATGCTTATAAATAGGCTTAATATAGCAAGTTAGGTTTTTTGTGTGAATTAAAATTTAAATGATATGAGATATTAAGGAGATTGATTGAAAAACATACAACCATAAGCATATGAAAGTATGAAAAACTGAATACTGATTATGAAAGGACCCTGGTTGAATGCTTAAAAAATTGAAATTATAAAGTTTAGTCAGGTATTATTATGATTATGGGGTAAAAATGTCCTTAGCATATTTTAAATAGTATTTAACAAATGGGGTACAAAGTTTGTGTTCTTTTCAACTTACTTGAGCCATTCAGCACATTCATGGGGAGAGCGGGAGGTTGAGAAGGGTTTAAAATGTATATATGATAGCGGTCAATACTTTGATCTTTGGGTACAACTTTCAGTGTTCAAATGACCACATCAGTTCTCTCTTGCAGAAGTCATTTTCTCTTTTGTTAATGCAAGAAATACATGAGCCAATTACAATTATCCAGTACGCTGAAAAATTTCTGATAGGTACAATGGGCATATGTATTTTGTTCTTGGTTTGCTAACAAACTCAGATGTTGGGCTTGATTTTCATAAGTGGTGCATTACTCGTTTCACATTTCCTATGAGAATCACACAGGGTATGACAAGTGTTGATAAGTATCTATAGTTTTTTCCTCTATGTTTATTGATCAATTTGGCTCTGAAAGTTGTGTTGGATATGCTTTTATATCACATATATATATATATATATATATATATATATATATATATATATATATATATATTATACAGGGTAAATGAGATATGGTATTGGGAAATAATGCAAGGAAAAGAGAGGCAATTCTATGAATAAGTACAGTTTCTGTGACTATGTGTTTTGTGTACGTGGGAGAATTTCCTGGGATGGGAAGAGTAATTTACCACTTAAGATGTAGTATCTGAACCACTATAAAAGGGTGGGGGGTGTTTAACAGTTTTCCCCAAATGTATTGTCCCCTCCAGAATAGAGAGAAAATTGACAGATATATTGCGGCTTTGAAAAGATCAAGTTGCTAAATCTATTAGTTGCAGGAATGAAAATGGAAGGATGTACTGAGGCTAACACTAATGAGGCACACACCTAGGAAGCCTTCTTGCTTTTGAATGACCCTTTTTGATAAAGCACCAGAGACTGAACTTTGTTTTTCCTCATAGCTGACATCTTTTGAAGTTTTGAGTGGACTTGTAATGCATTTGTGTCATGCACTGACTGACCTGCATTCCCAAGTATGTTACCAGATGTTGAGCTAAGAGACATTCTACACCGTCTCAGTACCAAGACTGAGAAATGGTGAAGCACCACTTTGCGGAGCCTCTGCAGCCTTGTCCGGGAGGAACCTCACAAGATCTTGCTGACTACTGCTATGTAAAGGGTGAAAGTAAGCCCACCTGGATTCACACCTCCCATTGTGGAAGCTTTACCTCCTTTGAGATGACAGCCTCCAGGCCTGTTTCTGCAATTGGGTCACCTGCCAAAAAAAAAAGCTGCTCCCTGAGCAAAATGGGGCCTTCCAAAAAGAAAGTTGGTGTTGTTGCTGCTTAACCACTTCAAGTCCAGACACTTTCACCTTCTTCCAGTCCACGCCAATTTTAAGCTTTCAGCGCTATCACACTTTGAATGACAATTGCGCAGTCATGCAACACTGTACCCATATTCATTTTTTAGCATTCTTTTTGAGACAGATAAAACTTTATTTTGCTGGTATTTATTTACCACTGGGATTTTTATTTTTTTGCTATATAAAAGGAAAATTCCAAACTTTTTGAAAAAAAAGTGTTTTTCTTATAACATTTTGCAAATAAATAATCTTTCTTCATAAATCTTGGCCAATATGTATTCATCTATCTTTTTAATAAAAAAAAAAAAAACCCAAATTAGTTTATAACCAAAAATTATAATTTTTCAGACATTTTTGTCACATTTTTATTTTATTTTTTATATTAATATTTATGTCACCCTAGCAGTAGAGTGTCACCATAGTGACACTGTACTACTTGTGGGGGGTGATGAAGATTTTTTTTTCTTTTTTTACACTGATTGCTTTTACACCCATAAAGGCTGTAAAAGCAATCATTTATCCTTCTCTCTGGCTGCATTCTTGCAGCCATTGAGAAATACTGTGTGAGCTGTCACATGGTACAAGGCTGCTGTGAATAGCCTTGTACCATGTGACCTCTGTGATCATTTACAGATTTCACTAGTAGTAAGCAGGGGCGGACTGACAACTCATGGGGCCCCTGTGTCCTTGCCCAAACTCAAAAAAGCCTATGAAAAAGGTACCAGAGGCATCTCATGGGACCCCCTACTGACCCCGGGCCCTCGGGCACAGCGGGCACTAGATCGGACACAGCAGGCACCAGATCACGGTGCGCACACTTCCAGGGAGCACGCACAGGCAGGGAAGCAGGGAGGACATTTATAAATGGCCACCCACTCCTGCAATGCTCCCTTTCAGCCGTTTATATACATGGGCCGGACGGGAAATGGTAAACTACTGCCTTTTAGCCTGACAAAATTACTTAAGCCCAGCTGGCCATTTATATTTTATGTTGCCCTGTCTTGAGTGGGCCTTCCATGGATCCAAGAATGAATGTCCTTATTACCTTGCTACAGTCTCTAGCTGCTGCTCAAGCTCTGTGGAACATCAATGCTTTGATGCAGTTAGACATATGAACTTGGACTATCAGTTAGGTGTGTAGCCATTTTCCTGCAAAAGTGGACTTTCGTCAAATAGGATTCTTTTTATTTGAGCTCCAAATGGGTGGACTCTCTCTCTTGGGATGTTTTGTGTAGCAGGAACACTTCACATTTCTGGAGAAATTAGCCTTACCCAAATCCTGCATATTTTACTGAATGCTTAGTTAGATGATTGCATTAATGAAAGGTTACGAAAATGTTTTTTACTGAAGACTGGGGAAAGTCTTTTGAGTTGAGTAGACAAACTCACTGATTGGAAAATGTATTTTTGATTATGTGATAAACGAATTTCCTCTCTGGCAACTGTGCCACTGCTTTAGCAGGGCTATGGGTAGATAACAAGGTATGTCTTCCCATAGAAGAAAGCTGCCAGAACCAGAACTTTTATAAATTGTGGGACCAGGAGAACTCCTTGAGGAACAGAGGCCCACAGTTGACAAACTTAGGATAGACATGATTGTTGTATGAATGAGTAATTTTATGTTTGCTAGATACAACAAAAAGGGGGAACTGTCAAGCAAGTAGGCCTTAGATATCAAATAAATATAAAATAAATACATCCCTCCCTAGATTGTAAGCTCCAAGGAGCAGGGCCCTCCTAACCCTCTTGTATTGAACTGTATCATTGCTGTATTGTCTCCCGTTATATTGTAAAGCACTCAGCAAACTGTTGGTGATATATATCATGTATAATGATAACAATATTTTTCCCTACGAAAGCCAATTCTGGGACTGTCAGCAGCATGCGAGATGTTTATCTCTCCAGCATAATCTGAACAGGAACACTCATGTTATTCAAATATTTTTTGACCAAAACCAGTCTGAAAGGCATCACTAGATAGGGGAATCTTGCTTGTATGTATGACCACCCTTGGATGACTGTGTAACATTGGCGGACTGACAACTCATGGGGCCCCTGGGCAATAGGGGATCATGGGGCCCCTGTGTCCT